TAAGAGAGTTGGAAGCATAGCTAGATAGACACGTATGAATGAGACAGTCACAGCCGAGGACAGTTGAGAGGTCACAGCCGCAGCAGAAGAACTGAAGTAGAGGCAGTAGTTGTGATACTGCAAGTGATAATAATTGTATTCTTGACTCTGTAAGTGTGGATGAATGAGTCAATAAATCATCGTTGAATCCGAAGGCTACATGAAGTTATTTGTTGCATGACATACCCAACATGTGACAGTATGTTGCATATTTGTCTCCTCCAGACTCTTCCTTAATAAACAATGGGGCATTCTTAATTGTGTTCATTGTAATGGTGCTTTGCTTGTAAATTCAGGTTACAGACAGTCTCTATTTCCAGGCTTGTTCTTATCATCTATGCAGACGATAGTTCATGAAGAATTTGATGTGTGTCTGGGTAGTCATACTGTTAATAATAATCTGGTATTTTGAGACTTCTTCAGAAGTACAAAGAAAACACTAGAGCTGAGACCAGACCAAAGTACCATACAAAAACAATTCAGTACTGTTACCTCTATGCTAACTTGCTCTGTGCCTAATTATCATTGCCATTATATGAAGATTGGGGCCATGTGGTAGTGTAGTTCATTGAGGCACTATACAACAAGCCAAAGGGTCTTGGGTTTGAACTCTGATGAAGTCACGGGATTTTTCAATTGACCTAATCCTTCCGGCCGCACTATGGCCCTGGGGTTCACTCAGGCTCTAACAGAAATGAGTACCAGGAATCTCCTTGAGAGTGAAGGGCAGCCGGCACATAAGGCTGACATCGCACCGTCATCTGTGACCAAACTGTCTAGAAAATGTGGGAGCCTTGACATCTCCCAACCCCTTGAGTCTCCGCATCCTGTTACAGGGATAGCTTTCTCTTTTTTCCTCCCCTTAATATATGAAGACTGATACAGCCACACACAGTGGCAGTTTCCAGACTACCAGCCCATCTATCACTGAAAATATTAAAACCAATTTTGATATTTCCTTCCCAGTCCCACATGAGAACATTCTGTCTGTGGTGAACAGAAGCTGCATAGACAGAATTCTAGATAACATATTTTCAACTGCAAATAGTCTCAAATGGCAGGAAAATTCAAAACAACAAATCAAGAAGTATGTCATAGTTAATTTCATTTAAGCACTTCAGCTGATTTTACATCAGCTATGAATGTTCATACTGGAACTGAATCTCCTTGACTAAAGCTATTATGGCCTTGAAAATTAATATCTTGAAAGTGTGAATGAGTGAGCTACACATACTGAGAATCTATGGGCTACTTCAGTAGAAAAGCAGTGTTCCTATATTTGTGGGCTATTTGCTGACAACTTTTCTAAACTTTCTTCCACAGCTTTCTGTCATTTATTGTCTTGGTTTCAGATGGTGAAAACGTGTGATCCACGAATGACAGCCAACGTTCTCCCCTCAAAGGCATACAGAAAACAGTGCCGAGACAAATTTATGTTCAAAGAGTTAGTTAAAAGTAGGGGAGGGGGGCATTCAGCAGCACAGTTGGTTGAGGCACAATGCTACAAGCCAGAAGGTCGTGGGTTCAAGTCCCAATGAGGTCAATGGATTTTTTCAATTGACTTAATCCTTCTGGCCACAGGGCAGCCAGTGCGTAGGGCTGACAACCTTGCCACCAACTATGAGCTGATTGTCTAGAAAATTTGGGAACCTCACCATCTCACAACACAGCCTGTTACACGGATATCTTTACTTTTTTTTTAACCAAAAGCAGGTGTTTACCAACTTCAGTTTGAAACAGGTAACAGGAATGAGTAACACATTAACCTGTATATTACTTCAATGGAGAATAGTTTCTTGTGCACCAGATTCTCCCACAGATCCCTATCCTAAACTGAGCTGAGCTCCATTTCAATATTATGGGTGTATTATCATCTATGCCTTGGTCTTCCAAGTGGTCTCTTTACTACAGATTTCCCTACCAAAATTTGTATTCATTTCTTACACCTCATCGGCATTTTACACTCACATCTTATCATCCTTAATTTGATCAACATAATACTGAGCAAAAAGCGTAAATCATAGAGGTCATTATGCAAGATCATCCACCTTCCTGTCACTTCCTCCCTCTTGGGTCCCAATAATCTGCTCAGCAACCTTTAAACACCCTTAATCTATAGCCTTCTCTCAATGTGAGAGACTAAGTTTCAACTCACATAGAACCAGTATAATTAGTTTTGTATATTTTAATTTTATGTTTGTAAATATCATACAGGAAAGCAAGAAATCTTTAAATGAATGATGGGAAGCATTCCTTGACTTCAGTCTGTTGTTTCTTCCTGAACACAATTTCGTTTGTTAGTATCATTTGCAAATATCTGTACTTTTCCAGATTTAAAAAAAACTAGCAAGACAAGTACACTAAATTTTATCTGCAAATACTTATAGACAAACCTCCCCAGTACAGCTGAGCTGACCAAAGAATTCCCATGAGCAGTGGGGATAACTGTTGCTAGGTGGGGAGGACATGTTCTGCCACTCTACCACTCTAGCTTGCCTGGTGGCATGCCTCACCTAAGGCTAGTCTAAAAGAGTAATCCATCTAACAGGGATGGAAGTGGGGGACAGAGTAAAGGGGAACAGAGGAAGGGTGGGTAGATGGAGTGGGAATTCTTTGCCTGGCTCCAGTAGTGTCGCCTGTGTTTCTCTTTATGGAAGTTAAGCTTTTATCCAAGAAAACAACCAAAGCTTGCAGTCTCATTCAATTCTAATCCCACCTCGTTTTCTTACAGAGGCTATCTCCAAACATACAAAATAAGCACTCACAGACAACCTGTAAGGGGTGGTTCTCCTGCTTGGGTGTTGGACAGAGAGCTACAACTCTTCACTGTAAAAACCCAGCATGTTATGAAATGTAAGTTGTGTGAAATGTCAAAGTTATTACTACTGTATTGTGGCATATAGACCTGTTGTTAGGCAAAAACCTTGGAAACAAACATTTCATGACATATGAGTAATAACAGATACAAAATATATTGCATGAACTTCCTCATATAACCTACATGGCCCAAAAGAAAATAACTCCTGGCCACTGCACATTTATACTCGTATATGTGGAATAGGAATGAGGAGCTTCATAACTTGTACTCTTCTCCAAGCATAATTAGAATGATCAAGTCAAGGAGGATGAGGTGGGCAGGGCATATAGCATGAAAGGGTGAGATTCAGAATGTGTATAGGATATTGAAAGAAAGAGACCACTGGGAAGACCAAGGTGTAGGTGGGTGGAAAATATTAAAATGGATGTTAGAGAGCTAGGATGGGATGGTATTGATTGGACTGATCTGGCTCAGGATAGGGACCAGTGGAGGGCTCTTCTGAACACGGTAATGAAACTTTGGGTTCCATAAAATGCTGGGAAATTCATGAGTAGCTGCAGAATTGGCGGCTCCTCAAGAAGGGCTCGGCTCCATGAGTAAGTAAGTAAGTAAGTAAGTAAATAAGTAATGTGTGGAACAGGAGGGAGAAGTAGCACATGCATTTCATTTGCAATGGTACTCACTCTAAACTGGTTACTAGTTTTCCAGAAATTCCTCATTTTGTGTTTCAGTGACCTTGTAGTGCCCTTTATTTTCTAAGCTGCAAATCTTCTGGAATCCATGTGTGACGTCCATAAGAATAAACAACAAATATGAAGAGAATCTGCTGAACTGCCTGTGTATCAGAAAAATTTTATGATTTGGTCTTTGTCACATTGGCACATCACATACAAACCTACTGCCTAGTTAACAGTATTTCCATATAAGCATCATTCCTGACAGATTATACCAGTTACACCTGCATGGGTGTTGGAGAATCAATGAATCTGATTTCTCTCTTGAGAAGAATTTACTGTTCCTATCGACACAAATTAAAAGGTGCAACTATGAACTGTACTCACATTAAGTATGGGTTACAGTTTATAAAATTTATCCTCTGGGCTTATTTTCCATACACATCTCAACTACATGACAGAAAAGCAAGCCAGAAAGCAACACAGTTGAAGTGAAAATATGAGTCTCAAACCAACAAAATCAAAAGGTGCAAAGTTTTTTTAACTTATAAACAGAAAAAAGATCTCGGTTCAGGATAGGATAGTAATTGTTTATCATGAAACAGATTCTTTATATTATGTCAATAAAGTGATATGTTGCACGCATGTGTTTGATGAAAATTTTATTCCATTTTTATAATAATTATGTACAAGTGATTATATAAGATCATTTTAGGACCTAAATGTCAGTTAATTTAGGAGAATGTACTGGTCTGTACTGAGATGAGCATTTCTGTGCCCGATTTTGCTGTTATCTCATTTTACAGCGGACCACACAGAGGATAATGTGACTGAATATATCAACCTGGGGATACAGAAACTGAAGTTACCCAGCAAACTGAAAAGCTTGCTCGACTTCTGAACTTAGTTCATGTCAAGCATTCAGTTACATATCCCTGAACACCAAGAGCAGTCTGCAGCTGCAAAAGTTTTGTACAGTGAATTAAGAGCTGTGAATAACTAAAAAAAATGCGCATACCAAAACTTTTATTGTGACTCAAGGAGACCATAAATAGTTGGATGAGTAAAAATTTTATTTGCTGCTGGTAATAATGACATCTGGTAGAAAACTCCACTGAAGATGTCTTTGGATTCTTTCATTTTTGCATCCTGTTGGGTTTTATATTACTCTATCAGTAAAACTATTCATAACTTGTATGCTTCTCCATGTATAATTAGAATGATCAAGTCAAGGAGGATGAGTTGGATAGGATATGTAGCACAAATGGGGACAGAGGAGAAATGCATATAGGGTATTGGTGGGGAAAGCCGGAAGGAAGGAGACCACTGGGAAGACCAAGGCGTAGGTGGCTGAACAATATTAAAATGGATTGTAGGGAGATAGGATGGGATGGTATGGACTGGACTGATCTGGTTCAGGATAGGGACCACTGGAGGGCTCTTGTGAACACGGTAATGAACCTTCGGGTTCCATAAAATGCTGGGAAGTTCTTGAGTAGCTGCACAATTGGCAGCTACTCAAGAAGGGCTCAGCTCCATGAGTGATCAGTAAAACGGTATCTCACATTTTTATGACTTTTGACACAATTATTTTGGTACTTAAGATTTAAAACTGTTCATAGTTCACATTATTTATGAAGACTGGATGTGACAGGACTAGTGTGAGAGGAAACTGTCCTCATTTCACTGTAGCTATGGCAACGATTTTAGCAAGAACTCTCACTATTCATGTCCAACACATATGCTATCTTGATGGCAGAACATTTCCTGCTATTCACATGTCCATGACCTTCAGGTTATATAAACATGACGCTGCTTTATGACAGAAATCAATCATTTTGTAAAGGCTTGTGCCTATCATTCATTCAGTACATCAAAATTATATTGGTCATTATGTACATTTACATATGCTGCAGACAACTCTGTTGGGGGTTGTCACTTCTCTCATGTGCCACTGCACTGATACATTCCTTTATAATTTCACTTTTGAGATTGGTGTAAGCCTCATGATTACAATTAATGGTGAAAACAAAACAAAATGAAAACCTATCAGTATAAAAGTAACCAACTCTGTGAAGATGATGGGTATACAGCAGACTCCCAGAACACAGTGTATATCGACTATATCTGAGACAAGAGCCAATATTACTGTCGTGTGACTTATGGGAAGCCATTTTAGACTATTTTACATTTCATTCACAGAATAATGACTTTCAAACTGTGATCAACACAATAAATAAGATAAAAAGACACATTATTCTAATGATTCTCTGAAAGGTCCATGACAACAATCTGTTATTAACTGTAAAATTATTTTGTTGGAGGATGTCCATTGTCTTGTCTTAGTTGTGTTTAAAATAACATAATGTTTGAGTTTGGCATGATGAAACTGCTTCTGTTACCAGGTGTAAAAATCGGGAATGGATCCCACTCGGCTGGGCCCGTTAAGACAGCCAGTCTTTAGTGGTGAACAATGAAGGAAGTTGTGGGCAGTGTATATATATTTTGCTGCTGCCACAAGCCATACATGGGAGACAGATGAAAGCAGTAATTACAACACTAGAGCAATTTGTTGATTTCAAATATTACCTCGGGGAGCAGAGAGTATAGAGAGTTTATAATCAAAGCAGGGGAAGTCACACAGTCCTGAGATCTGAGCTAGGCTGTCTCATCACCCATTCTGTACTGATGAAGACCATCTTTTTGATATTTCAGATCATTCTGTTTTCTTCTTTGTGCAAACTGGATCACTAGAAAACTAAAGACGATGGTCTTCATCAAAATGATGGGTGATCAGCCAACCTAGCACAGATGTCAGCACCATACAGATTCATTTGCTACTTGGACTGTCCATACTCTTTGCTTCTACTGGTAATATATGATTTCAACATATGGTTCTGGTGTTATTTCCTGCTTGTATCTCCATCTCTTACATGACTTGTGAAAGCAGCAGAATATATACACTGCCCAATGACTGACACCAGCTCTGTCTAACAGACCAAACTGAGCAGGATCCTTCAGCCCCCCCCCCACCCACACACAATTTTACACCTGATGATGAAAGCAGACCCAGCTTCAAAAATGTTCTGCAATTTTAAATACAACCGAGACAATGGACATCAAAGAGAATAATTTTATAACATGTTATTTTAACAGCATTAACTAGTTTCCATTATGGCTGACATGATTTTGAAGTTCAGTTTTACTTCCTAAAAAATTTGATGCCGTGGTTATAATTGTAAGTTATCACCTAGAACTTCAAAGAGCTCCATTTGAGCCAGGCACATTAATAAAGGGAAAGACTTCCATTATATAATTCACGTGCTGGGTTTATTACATCTGTATCTAAAAATATGTGAGAGTATTTAACATGTTTTCAGTCAACTATACATGCATGAAATGCAGTATTGCTGGAATTTCTAACATGGTTCAATTGTGTCTTCAGAGCCAATATTTCATACACATGTCTACTAATAAGACATACGAGTACAGCTCAATTTAAGAACTTCACAACTGAAAGACATGCCTCATCAAATTAACTGCTTATTACACAGCTATATGTAAATTAAATCAATTTTTTCTACAAATTTCTGACAGCTTTTTCTAAGAGAAAACTTTGGTCAGAACTTCTATGTACAATGTCTTCATTATTTTGAAATAAATGTTAACATATACATTTTTAATTACTAATGCAACCTGATCTCACAGAACATTAATAATATAGCATATCCTTGTTCCACTTACGTTATGATACTGGAGCTGAGATGAAAAGGCATCTCTTATTTTGTTATGTAATATATACTACAATACTCAATCATACTAACATGATAAATTTAGAGGGGAATGAGTATATTTGGGGGAGATCATACAGTTGGCACTCCCAAAGAATGAATTTTTTGTGAGCCTTTGGAACTGTGATATCAATAATCACTGAAATCTTCAACTCTTCCTTCACTAACGAGTACCCAACATCAGATACAACCACAATCAATTCTGGTAATTCAACATTCACATCTAACATGTCACAGTTGTATTCTGAACATAAGGCGTGGTCCCTGTTACAATAAAGCTTCACTCTTCACCACACTACAAAGCCATCAGAAATCTGTGAAGGACATGGAATTAGCAGTCTTCCTTTCACAGTTGGCACAGTCAATCTTCAAACATTATCTGTCGGAAGAGATTAAATGTTAATATAATAAAACACAGAAAGCAAGAGAGACAGCCGGACAATTCATAATCCACAACACAGGCATAACATTACACTAAATTTATGAAAACCTCTACTATAACAAAAAGCATCAGAGGGATGACGAACAGTTTAACGTGGCAGTGCAACGAGTACACTCGGCTGAATTAGCAACACTTGCAGAATCCCAATATTAAAATCATGGAGGACCTCTTCCTATGGAATACTAAGAATCAGACTTCACCTTATGCATTTCCATCCATGTCTTGGTTTTCTAGAATAGTCCTTTCTTCTTCTTGTCCTTTTTGCCATCTACTGCCCTGTAGCAACAAAATGAAATTATTTAAACATTCAGCAATTTGCAAATTACACATTTTGAGGCCTACTGTTCAGCTGCTTCAATCAAGTGAACACGCATTCAAAATTTCCTATTCCTTGAAGAATAATTTGAAATTTATTCATGAAACACCTGTATGAAAAATGAAATAAACCTGTTAAAATAAACATGTAAATAAATAAATAAATGAAATACAACAAATTTCAAGAAAAGAATTGAGAACAGGATTTTGCTATTTCTGCCTCCTCCCCTTTTCAGAAAGCCAGTGCTACTTAATATTACCTGGCAAATAGCCAATTTCAGGAGCGAACTTTCCAGTGCAGCAAAATATAAAAGGTCAGCCAATATATTAGTCCCTTGGGAATAACATTTTATCACACCAAAGTGCCAAAGCCCAGATCTTTATATGTCAAAAGTTCATGCCATGAAGTTGGTCACCCTCCCCTCCATCCACAATTACTGCTAGACTGAACACTGATGGTACTGAAGCTTGTCACTGGAAACAAGCCTAAATTCATAATTTTCTTATTATACAGGAATTATCTACAAGGAAGGAAATAAAGCACATTCCATTTCCATAAAATGCTTAATTCTTTTTTATTATCATCATGGCTACTAGTTTACAAGAAAATTTTCCTACATAAGAAATTCAACCTATGTGAACATATTCTTTTAACAAGCCATAGAATTAGATTTCATTCTTAATTTTTTTAACTTCTCTCTTCTTTTGCAATTTATTATACAGGATGAATGCAAATTATCTTTATAGCTTCAATCTCAAATGAGAATGTTTAGAAACAAGGTACATGTACTGTTCTTGTGTCATCTGTAGGAAAGACCATGAAGTTTAGCTCAGTAGGTGTCACTGCTGCTTGATATGAATTCACCACAATGTCAGTCATGATGCCACAGCAAAAGGCACAGCAGCCAGCCAATTCACCAGAAAGCACACCCTAGGACTTTCTTTATGGGGTTATGTAAGTGACTGCGTGTACACATCTCCACTGGCCAACATCAGTGAATCAAAGAACAGAACTGGGCTGCTTTTGTATGAGTTGATGCTGGAATGCTGCAATGTATATGGAGGAAAGACAGCATGCCATTTCAATATTTCATGCACAACAAATGGTGCTCATTTTGAATGTTGTTAAGGTTTATGATTTCCTTCCATTACAGAGGGTTAAGAAACAGCATGTGTATCTTGTTTCTATAAACCTTTATTTCAGATAAAATTTGTTAAGTTAATTTGTGGTCACCCTGAACTGAGAGTGAGATTTTATGAATGTGTAAACACAATGTTGACAATAATATTCTGGCATGCCAAAACGTAAATTGCAACTTGCAGTACTATGATATAACGGCAAAGCTTTCTGCCATTCTTATCTGTAAGAGATGCTGTACACAGACAACAACAAAACTAAGAAGATCGCTGTCTTCTGCGGATCGCTATCCCAAAGTTTGGTAGTCATCTACTGATCTTTCAGAGGGATATGTTGCCCCCATCTACAAGGTACAGACGCACTCTGATCACAAAGGCAGTATATAGCTCTGAAACTTCTACCAGACTAGATGGCATCACATCTCAAAATACACTAATCTTCAGTCACTGCCAAGAGAATTTACACTCTCACACAGCAGAATTAAATTCTTTATAAAGTCCTAAGCTTCCTCTGAAGGGTGAGACGGTTAGGGGGCTACCCAAAAAGGGGGATGTATAGCGGAACAAAGTCGGTTTTTGTGTACTGATTTGTATGAACCACCCCTTAATCATTCAATCCTTCTCTGCCTCTTACATTTAATGTTGATAAACCCTTTTCCTGTCAGAACCTCTCAAATGGCCCTCAAATATGCTGGAGGAATTCCAAACTATAACAATGTGAGATTACATGACTACATGAAGATTCATCATGATACTGTGATGAATCAACCCACTGCCAGGAAATGTCCGCAACACACGTGGCGAACAATACAGGAGCAGTGATTTCTGTGGTCTGTGCATGGACCACTGCTATGCCATTCCACATTATGTTAGGATTATAATATCTAATGCTGCTAACAATCACCAATTTCATAGTGCATATATTCAAATCTCATAACTATGACTCTGTTGCTTAAAATGTTCTGCATTCTGTATGACTGACCTAATCCTATGGAATAAAATTAAAATCTACATTTAATATAGTAACTCTAATGAAAGGTATATAATGCGCCAGTCTACATAACAGCAGTTCTGAAAAAAAAAATGCACTACTGCCTCAAGATTTGTTTTATTAGCTGTTGGTGACAACACAACATGCTTCGACCCTTTTCTTGAGTCATCTTCGGGCATACAAAAATACTGGTATCAGTTCCTGAATTGCATCATTAATCAATGTGTTAACACATTAGAAAGATTTCATATATAGGATATAACCATGAAGGGTCTAAAATGAACAATACATTTATATATATATATATATATATCCATCCCCATATTTG